TGATTTAAAAGTTGCGTGTCAAATGGAAATTGTTTATTTAAAAAATGTTTCAACAGAAAACATTTCTTAAAAAAAAATTTATTACCAAGACCTGCTACATCCTGACACTTAACAATCTGTCTTGCCCTTACCAAGAGGACCCTCCAACTTTTTTTAAACCTAATGTTACACTTAGAAATGATGTCTTGAATGATCTCTGTGTCATAATACAAATCTAATAAGCTTAACTACTATTCCCTTGAGCTACAATAACAACAACAACAATCTTCGGTGTAGATACTCGAATGATCACGATTAGAAAAGGAACAATGAACAACCAATCTGACCCAAGAGACTCAAAAGCAACAAGACATAACCCTAACAGAGATCTCCTCTTCAAGCAGAAGGCCTACTGCTTCTCTACTGCTCACCAAGAAATCGCAGAAAGTATCCAGTTGAGAAATATCTTTCTGGGAGAGAGATAGTACACCTCTATTGTATCAACATTAGAATCCAAGAACAGTTGTATAAAATCTCAAAAGGCCGTGTAATGGCAAATAATCACACTGCTCAATGATGCCTCAAAAGCACAGAAGTACATTTAACATAGCAATACCAGCTGCTCAAAGAAGTTCGATCTCCAACCACGAAATTCTTATAAAAATCTATCGACTCAATGGCATAAAGATTATCCCAAAACCTAACCAATGAAGCCTAGGACTAGATTTAAACATTTCAGATGCGATTGTTGAGCAGAAGTCATTAAGCGACCATAGGCAAAAGCTAGTGAGTTTTTTTTGTCAACTCATAGAAATGCTGAAAATCACGAAATCATTGTATTGAAACAACCAGCATAATCACCAGTCCAACTGGAAAGTTATCGAAGATTAACTTTCTTTCCCACCTAAGACAAGGCTGCTGACAATATCATTCTATGCAAACTAGTTAAAGAGGGGGAAACTGGACTTTTATTCCAGCATCATATGATATCATAGTGTCACTGACAAATTTCACCGATACTGTTCTCTGTTGTACATATACACAAGCTTTACAGAATATGGGGCATGATGCTGAAGATAGACAATCCACATCCATCTAAGAAAAAGCACAACGCTGCTTTTCTCGACAACAATATAAAAGACTAATCAACCTGCCCGACTCACAATATTTTGCGAAATTATCGCATGCCACAATTAAGTCAAGTACTTGAAAGTCATTATGGACGCTCAACTTCAGAGTCGCTTCAATCCGCTCAGTTGGAGCCGTTCCATTATGATTCTATTAAAAGATATCGAAAACATAATATTTGTGTTCATAAAAAACACTTGGGACATCCACATTTTCAAGAAAGACCTGACTAATGTCTAAATACAGTTAGAATAGATGTTTGCCCTGAGAACACATCCACTATATATGACTCAGGATTATCACATAACTTCATACTTTCCCATACTGGCTATGAATCAGCTTTTAAAACATTTTATATTTGATCGCTACTTTGGACACCTATGCTAATGCTGATTTCTGTAGTTCAGATGCCCGTCACGTTCTCTACCGTTTCGTATCGTGTAGCATACAACATCAACTTAATTTGCATACAAGATATCACGCAGTACAGAGTTATCTGTTATCAAGTTGGCAGATTTGCAAAACTGGGAAGTAGAGACCAGCAAGTGCTATTCAAAGGAGTTTCAATAATTATCCCTTGGTGTTACTTCGATGAATACCATCCGTAAGGAAACACATCTGCAGCCTATAACCCTTAGATCAGTGAATTTAACCGAGTTACTTGGTTAATATTTTGCAAAACATCACAGTGGACTGTGAATAAGTGGAAACAGGTTCTCTGGAGCTATAAACCAAGGTTCGCCCTCTATCATTTTTATGGCCGGGTATGGGTCTGGTGTCATCCAACAGAACACCTCCTTTCCGAATCCATTGTACCAAACGTGAATTATTCGGAGTTACCCGAATGGACTGGCCTGCGCCTGAGCCCCATCGAGAACCTCTGGGACGATTTAAATCGCTGAATTAAGAAAATTATGGCACCACGGCAATCGGTGAAAGAATTTAAGTGTATTCTCCAAGCCGAGCGAAAAAATATATCATTTTCAGCATCTATTATACAAGGACTCTCTCTTCAATTACATGTGTCAAAGTACTTCTTGGCAGATAGTGTAGTAATTAAGCACAGGTCATTTGCAGCCTAGATAGTGCATCCGTAACATATCGATAGCAAAACTGAACAGTTTTGTAAAAGTTGTGGAGAGACAATTGTTAACAAATCTCCTCTTTCAACGAATTTCAGTTTTTCGATGGCTAGGAGTTTAAATCCACAGTATAACAGCTTCCTAGAGAAAGGTTCGAGTAGCTAGACTTCCTGTCCAGGAAGTCATCACACCAGATCGTAAAAAAAACAAGTTAAGTAAATATCCACAAATGAATATATCATCCGTGATGATTTAATCCGGCGCAAAAATCCAGAAAAGCTCTTGATTAGCCATGCCAATCATGCACTGAGCTACCAGAACGTTTATAGATCCTAGGGTTACACATCATCAATGTTTATTAGACCATATAATTTAATATTACACAGACCATTCAACCTTGAAGGCAAAGTCAACACCAGAGTTTTTTAGTCACTCATTAGTTGTATAATATTACTATGGTTGCTACTATGTTGTGTTGGCATTTCTAATACCTCACCTTAATATTCAATCTAGTTGGATATAATAGATAGGTATTCAAACATTCATGGCTCAGACACACGTTACTGATTCCTATAATAGTACATTATCACATCCACAAGACGCTGCAGGTGTGGTATTTGGAAGCGATTTCTTTTAGACACTGTACTTGATTTAAAATTTTCCTTTCAAACACTTATGTGTATTGATTAGTCGTGTTTATGCTGGTACAAACGTAGTGTTTTTATCCTCTCTCTGTTTGTATTCTCCAAGGTGAGTGGAAGAAAATATCAGTAGCCATTATACAAGGACTTGTGGAAAGCATGCCAAGGAGAATTAAGACTATATCAAGTAATATTAATAAAGTTTATATCTCTTTTCAATTACATGTGTCAAAATACTTCTTGGCAGATAATGTAGTAATTAAGCACAGGTTGTTTGCAGCCTAGATAGTGCATCCGTAACATATCGATACCAAAACTGACCAGTTTTGTAAAAGCTGTGGAGAGGCAATTGTTAACAAATCTCCTCTTTCAACGAGTTTCAGGACTTCGATTTCTAGGAGTTTAAAGATTGAGCAGCCAGACTTCCTATCCAAGAAATCATCACACCAAATCGCAAAAAAACATATTAGGCAAATATCTATAAATGAATATATCATCATTGATGATTTAATCTGGCACAAAAATCCAGAAAAGCTGTTGATTAGTCATGCCATTCATTCACTGAGCTACCCCAACGTTTAGAGATTCCAGGGTTAAACACAGAACATCATCAATGTTTATTAGACCATATAATTCAATATTACACGGACCATTCAACCTTGAAGGCAGAGTCAACACCAGAGTTTTTTAGTCACTCATTAGTTGTATCAGATTACTATGGTTGCTGCTATGTTCTGTTGGCATTTCTAATACCTCACCTTAATATTCAATCTGGTTGGATATAGATAAGTATTCAAACTTTCATGGGTCAGACACACGTTACTGATTCCTATAACAGTACATTATCACATCCACAAGACGGTGCAGGTGTGGTATTCGGAGGCGATTTCTTTTAGACACTGGACTTGATTTAGAATTTTTCTTTCAAAGACATTTATATGTACTGATTAGTCTTGTTTATGCTGGTACTAACGTAGTGCTTGTATCCTCCCTCTGTTTGTATTCTCCAAGCCGAGTGGAAGAAAATATCAGTAGCCATTGCACAAGGACTTGTGGAAAGCATGCCAAGGAGAATTAAGACTGTATCAAGTAATATTAATAAAGGTTATATCTCTTTTCAATTACATGTGTCAAAGTACTTCTTGGCAGATAGTGTAGTAATTAAGCACAGGTCATTTGCAGCCTAGATAGTGCAATCGTAACATATCGATACCAAAACTGAACAGGTTTGTAAAAGCTCTGGAGAGGCAATTGTTAACAAATCTCCTCTTTCATCGAATTTCAGTTCTTCGATTTCTATGAGTTTAAATCCACAATGGAACAGCTTCCTGGAGAAAGGTTCGAGTAGCCAGACTTCCTATCCAGGAAATCATCGCACCAGATCACAAAAAAACAAGTTAAGTAAATATTCACAAATTAATATATCATCCATGAAGATTTAATCTGGCGCAAAAATCCAGAAAAGCTGTTGATTACCCATGCCATTCATGAACTGAGCTACCCCAACGGTTATAGATCCTGGGGTTAGACATCATCAATATTTATTAGACCATAGAATTTAATATTACATAGACCATTCAACCTTGAAGGCAAAGTCAACACCAGAGTGTTTTAGTTATTCATTAATTGTATCAGAGTACTATGGTTGCTGCTATGTTGTGTGATATAGATAAATATTAACTTTCATCCGCAAGGAGCTGCAGGTGTAGTATTTGGAAGCGATTTCTTTTAGACACTGTGCTTGATTTAGAATTTTCCTTTCAAAGACTTTTATGTTTATTGATTAGTCTTGTTCATGCTGGTACAAACATAGTGTTTGTACCAGCAAACACTGCTTTTTGCTACATTTATTAAGAGTCCATTGACTCATTGACAGCAAAATCATTTACATTGACTCACCAAAAGCTGCTACAATTATAAAACCGAGGACTCAATTAGTAGTTGTAACGCTTGAATAATACTTGTTCTTGGTTACTTCCTTAATTATTGAATAACATTTTTTTGTTTGGCACACTAATACTTTTAAATCAACCTTTATTAAATTTTTTTTCATTAACTAATTACTTATTTTTGTTTGCATGAACGGTTACTTTTATTTTGATGTAAGTAGTTATAACAAAAATATAACAACTAACGAAATTAAATAAAACGATTGAAAATGTTTTTTTAATTAATACCCATTAAGAAATATAAGGCATATACATGATATGTCATCGAAGTTTCGGGTTTACAGCAAAAACTGTTCCTCTCCGTTCGGTGTTTTTGATCGATCTTATTTTTGGAGAAGAACTTTAAATACTTATACATCCTTTTTAATCTTTTCGGTTAATTTAATTCGTATCTAACACGTTCAGTAGCAGTTATGAAAATATGTTGGTTCCACGTTACCCGATCTAAGTTGATTTTAAACTTTGTATCAACTATGTAACACCACTATTCTAACTAAGAAAAAAAATCTATTATTATTGTTTTCGATTAATTAATTTTTTGCAACAGATTTTTTTTTTGAGATTATTTTTTCTTAAAACTTAATTTTTTATTTACATTTAAGCCCTCAGCTAGCTCTAATATGTTATGAGATCGTAAGAAAGCTTATTAAACTATCCTACGTTGTTAATTTTAATTTTTTTTTGTTCTACTTTGTTAAGTACTTCTTGCCACAGTTTTTATTTACATAAACAATTTTATACATAATCAAAAATTCAAAGTTATTTGTGTGTTTTTTTTGGATTTAACTTACAATATCGAACACGGAGTAGATCCATGAATTAGTTCCGAAACGAATAGCGGAGTTCCAGCGGATAATCCTCCATCAGATTTTTGATGCTCATTTTGGTCAGAATCACAATCGAAATAATGAATTTGACAATCAACACATCGGCATTGATCGCTCATCTTACAAGTAATTCCAAATTGTTTTGCCACTGCCTTATAAAGTTCTTTACTTGATTTGTGCAAAATTTGAGGCCCTTTTGTTGGAGATGTTGTCGCTTCAGCTTGAGCTTTTCTGGTCTAAAAATTAAAAAAAAAATTAAGTATATTATTATTTAATAATTTGATAGAACTAACCTCTTCAAGAACGAACTCGTAGGATGGTGGAGGACTCGATGGTACTTCTTGCCCTTCTGCACCCTCTAAAATAGCCGGAACGTTCTGTTTTTGTGGACTCCCCAAATCTCCCGCTGATTCACAATGATCGGGACTTTCCACAGAGTTACTCCTCGTCGAGGAGTTACTCTTGGACATCCTGAATTTAAACTTGAACGGAGCCACTTTGCTGTATTCTATGGAGGGGTTGAAAATCGATTCGGCTCACCTGGCGGCGATGCCCAGAAGCTCAACACGTGATTAACACCCACCACCCTCTTTTATTTCACCGACCTAATTCCCTTTTCAAAGATAGTTTTTTGCTTACTTTTATCTTTTCTTCACTTTTAAGTCGTTCTTTTTTTTTGATTATTGAAGTTGAGAAAAGGAATGGATAAAATGTGAAGGATTAAGTTGGGTTTATAGAGTTGGGATTTAGATAGAAAGAGATGAAGATTTATATATAACCTGGGTTTTGTTATCTTTAAGTGTTCATTTATAGAAATTGTCGAGTCTGAAAAAGATTAATAAAAAAATGTGTTAAGGAGTTATTATAAAAAAGATCACACTTAGATTGTATAATTATTAGAACAATTTTTTAAGAAATCATTCTTAGAGACTTCAGATTAAAAAATATTATTATTAGTAAATCCGTTGAGAAATCTCTTAACCAATGCAGGGTTGTGTTCATTTAGTAAAATAAAGTGAAAGACTAACTTTACACTTTTAATAATATATAGTTATTTTGCATCTGAAAATATTAAAAGTTTAATGCAACATTGTGCAGAATACGTTATTGATATAAACAACATCACAAGAATATAATTACAGACACTTAGCACAGAAGAAATAGCAGATGTTGCACATCATAATGAATGGGATCATAGAACAAGTGCGTAAACTAAAACATGGATACAAGACGAACTAAATATCATATGCTACGTGGGCAACGCAACATTGATTGCAGACGCACAGGATGAACTACAAAGACTACCGCAAGATTTTAGAGTACAGGCTGGAAATGTTAATATCAAGATAAATGATACCAAAATAAAAGCTATGATAATAGCTAGAAAACCACGCATGTATACTAAAAGTTACCAAGCACATAATAGAGCAAGTAACAGACTATACCTACTTATTTGGTCGTAAACATACCATCACACCGTTTGCTTGTGGCCGAGGCTTTACTAGGTATTGGACAATTTTCGGCAAACTGTCTCGGCTTAATTAGGCGAAGCCATAGATTCTACTCGGAGCGTTCAAGAAATCGATAGCAGCTCTGTCAACAAACCCTACATTCACGTTTCCGAAGACAATTGTCGCGTGATATCCTGGTGCATGTTGTGCAACGGATGCACGTTATTTAGCAGATGATGCTAACAACCCAACACCAAAAAAAGAATTATATGTTACGGTTGGAACTTGGAACACACTCTCTATAGAACGGGAACTTTAAAGAAACTCCACTTTTGTTGTGGACTATTTAGCCAAACCTAATGTTCTAGACTTCAAACCTATGAGTGAGAGGATATGCGTACTAAGGATAAAAACACAGTTCTTTAACATCGCTATAATCAATGGAAATGGAGAAATAGAGGAAAAGGACGAGGAAACAAAGGATGGTTTTTATAGACAATTGGCGACTACGTATATATAGGACACACTGCTCTCAAACATCAAAATGAAAGTCGAGGAACTCAACGCCAAAGTAGGTAAGAACTATACAGAGAAGTGATTGGGAATAACAGCCTACATAGCCACAGCAACGATACTGGCAGAAGAATGATTGAATATGTGATGTCAAGAAACATGATTATAAGCTCCACATATATTCCAAGGAAAGATATACATAAATGGACATGAACGTCACCTAACGAATACACACACAACCAGATCGACCATATACCCATAGACAAAAAATGCCTCTAGCATAATGAACAAGACTGGAGAGAGAAAGCATATAGAAAATGAAGGGAAGCAAGTGAAGGAAGTAACATTGGAACAGAAACCGAGAGGCAGAAGACGTCAAGCGGCTGGTGACTGGCTGACGAGAATTGTCGTAAAGTGATAGAAAAAAGAAATGATGTAACAGTCTAATATATACAGAGACCAATAAAATCCAAATAAGTTATATATCAAGAACTGAGAAAATAAACTAACAGGATGCTGAAAACAAGGAAAACAAAACATAATAATTTAAGAAGATTTTAAAGACAATGACCCGAGGAAGACATTCCGAGGAATTAATTACTTCAAACAACGGTACAGGCCAAAAACGTCACTTTGCAAAAAGTAGAACAAAGTATTAGCGAATAACGTGAGTATTTGAGAAAGGTGGAAAAACTACTTCCAAGAACTATTAAACTCAACAGACAGTCAAGTTGAACTGAATATGGACTATAGGATAAATCAGAAAGTAGACGAACTGGCTATATATCCACCATCATCGGAAGACATCCAGAAAGTACTGAGATCGCTAAAGAATGGAAGAACACCAGGAATAGATAATATCCCAGCAGAACTCTTCAAGTATGAGGAAGGCTCAAGGGCTATGCACAGTCTAATAAATAAAATATGGTTACTATACATAGATTCCAAAGGAATGGAAAACAAGTGGGATATGTAAATACACAAATACACAAAAGGGAGACAAAATACTATGCGAAAACTATAGAGGCATATCACTACTTAGCACGCTCTGTAATGTATTCACAAACATCGTTAAAGACACCTTTTGGCACCTTTTTGACAAGAAATCATAGAGTATGCTGATAATATGAGTCATCAGCATATTAGCACAAAAGGTAATAGATATGAGTGCTTTACGGAACTTAAAAGTGTAGCAAAGGGAATAGGCCTAAAAATGAATGAGAAAGAAACCAAACTTCTAGTGCAGAGCAAGCAACTACGAAATCTGGTAGAGCGAAACATCACAATAGACAAATACAACTTTGAAGTTGTAAAGGAGTTCACAGCCCCAGAATCTAACATGTCACCTAACAACGACGAATCAAAGGAGGTAATTAAGAAAATAAATGCAGCAAATAAGACATATTATGTCGCACTACTCATACTGCTATCCAGATACATTCACAGAAAAACCAAAATTAGAGTGTATGAAACCATGATCCCTACGTGGACACTTACACAAAGATACACAGAGAGACAAACGAAAACTTTAAGAAAAATAATGGCACAATCCAGGAATGGAAACATGTGAAGAACGGACATTAACCACGAATTGTACCACTATATGAGGAACCACGAGTTTTAGAATATATAAAGCTCAGACGATTGACATGGGCAAGGTATGTCCAGAGGATGCCGGATGAAAGAGTACCAAAAAAAACACTACAAGAACAGCATGGAGGTAGGAGACCGATTGGGAAACCCAGAACATAATGGGGGGATGAGATGCGGAAAAGCTGCAAACTGGAAAAGAGCATCAGAGAACAGAGTTGGATGCAAGAGAAAAATTGAGCCTCGGGTTGATACGATGTTAATTATTAGCTTTGACAATAAGCGAACGCAGCTTAACCAGGGAATATCATAGATTCTCTACTGTAAGTTGAGAGGAAATCCCTTGTAGGCGAGTCATTGCAATATGTTGATCAACCTTGACTCGACCGCAAGCAATTTCAGTATAACCAGGGGATGTCATAGATTCCCTGCTCTAAGTTTAGACGAGGTCGTTTGCGGTCAAGGCGCTACAAGGTGTTAACCAATTTTGGGTTGATATGATTTAATATTATATTAATTAATTTGAGAGCATCGGCTTAATCATAAAGTTAAAGGCGTATTATACTAAGTTTAGCCGAAATGCTGTAATGGGTTGGTCAGTTTACATTCATATGATATCAGCGGAAGAACCGTGACCGTAAGCGTCTTCGGTTTAATCAGGTAAGAGAATTCTGCTTAATAAAGCCGAAATCATAGATTCTCTAAGATACTCTAAGTTTAGCCGAGGTCATTTACGACCAAGGCGCTGTAATATTTCTATCACTTTCAGATTGATATAATATTAATTGTGAACCTCGGACGCAAGTAATCTCGGCTTAATCAGACGATGTCACAAATTCTCTGCAATAAGTTTAGCCTCAGCCTCAGAGGCGTGTCAATATGTTGATGAGTTTTTCATTGATATGATATTCATTATATCAAATTCTTGATGTTCCGGAACATCAATGCTAATTTTGAAAATAACGTAAGAACAATAATACTTCAAATGAAAAGATCCAAATTGTCGAAATTCCTCTCTACAACAGTTGCTGAAACTTCGTCATCATAATCAATTACAACATATCCGGTTTTCGCCCATCTTCCTTGCTTCATGCCAAGTTTTTCGTTATCCTACGGTAATCACCTCAATCCAGCTCCTTCTCGATCTTCTTCTCCTCCATCGCGTTTTTTTAAATTTATTATACAATACTTTTTTCAAGTCATGCTCTGAACGTGACCTCATTATGTAAGCTGTTTTTCAATGTACTTTAATAACAGCACAACACTTCTATGTTGTTGATATTTCTCCTCGTCTGTAGCAGTAACTTTGTCTTCTCCGTGTTGATCCTAAGCCCCACCGCTTCAGAACCATCCTTCAGCATCCATACGTCCCCTCTACCGCTCTTAGTGTTTGGCTCATTATGTTTATACCCGCATACGCCGCCAACTGCACTGATTTGTTGATTAGCAAACCTGTCCCCTCCAACCCCATTTTCCTTATTACATATTCCAGCACCAGGTTAAAATGGGTTTGGGCCAGCCCTACTTGCTTTAAACCCTACGAAACCTGAAAGTCGTCTGTCAGTTGGCCCTGTGTGCGTACACACGCTCTGACATCAACTTTGCTGGGATTTCAAAGTGTTCCATGATCTTGAACAGATGTTGTCTATTAATGGAGTCGTAAGCCTGCCTAAAGTCCACAAATATATTATACACATCGACATCATATTCCCAGGCTTTATTTAGTATCTGCTTAATGGTAAATATTTGGTACTTGCCTATGATGTCTTCGGCAAAAGGTTGCAGTCTTTGGTTCAGGATATGTATCAAAAGTTTATAACCCGTACATAGCAGCGCAATCCCATGGTAGTTTCGACAAGCATGATTGTCTTCTTCCTTGTATATTACCGCTTTTCTTTACTCCTCAAGCAAACTTTCTTCTTCCCAAACCCTCCGAAGTGCAACAGTGTATAAATTCTCCTTGCCAACTCCTCACCACCAGCCTTCAGCACTTAAGCTAATATGCCATCGATCGCTGGTGCCTTCCCGTTTTTTAAGCGGCCGCTATTGCGTCTTGAACCTTATCGATGGATATGGGCTCCGTGGTCTTCTCCTCTTCTTGGTTTATTGTAACATTGTACACCTCCGTATGGGATACCATATTTAATAGGTTCTGGAAGTAATCTTTCCAGGTGTTTTTTTCCTCATCCTCACCTCTCACTATCTTGCCTGTTTCGTTTCTGCATAGAGCTGTGTGGGGTTTAAATCCTTGTCTCAACAGTTTAACAAACTTATACGCACTCCTAGTATCATGCTAGTCTTGCTATGAATTTATTGTGTTCCTCATTTCTTCTTGCAATGATCTTTGCACATGCGATTTCAAACGAGGTCGCTCTTTTGTGTTTCTCCGCGATTCCCAGGATTTTCTGCGATGTCTATTCCACTGGTCGTCTATCGTTTGTCTATTATCGTTTCCAGTGCCTTCATTTATCCTTACTTCTGTGTTTCAGTGTTTTCAGTTTTTCAATGTTAAGTTTTCCACTTCTGTACCTTTGTTGCTGGGTTTGGCAACTAATTTTACACCTTAATGTTGCCTGCACCAGAAGATGGTCCGACCCACAGAGGGCTCCTCTTCTTCTGTTGATATACATTTGATACGCAAATGTTTGCAGGTTTTGGTGTCCTCTACGTTGCAGTCTCTGTCAAATTTTCTCTCTGAGTACTCTATCAAAAGCATTTTGATTCAAAAATCGAAGTGTTTCTTTTTTTGCCAGTTAGTTTGTGGTAAATACATGGTCCTGATTCCTGAATACACTTTGTGATTCGGATAATATTGGTTCTACAACCTTTTGCCCAATTTATATCGAAAATCTATATAATTTGAGCAATCCTTGTTATCTCCTCTGTTATGTAATGGAATTATGCATCATTTTTCCTTATTGTTTCCTCTCTCCATGCTTGTTAAATACCTCAGCAAGTATTTCTGTGCCAGCGTTACTCATTCTTTTAGCATTTCTATGTAAATTACGAAATCTAAATCTTACAAAACCGAAATTCATCATAACACTTTTATTGAAATAATAAATAAATACACAATATAAGCGGAAAATTTTATTTCCGCTTTTAAATTTATCAAAAAGTAAAGATTAATACTTATTTTTAAATACATTAACTTCTCGGTATGCAAGTTTCGTTTAAACATTGCAATTTTGATGCATTCTATATTATTAATCATTAAGGAGTCAATAAACTCTACATCCAGTTGTAATTTAATCGTGCAGAAAAATAAAATAAATAGAAAATGTACAGCACATGAGCTGTGCAAACCCAACCCTAGCAAGTATTGATCTATTTTCCTTAGAGTAGGGGTAATTTCTACATAATTCTGTTCTTACAATTGTATTATTCTCAAAATTTTAATCAAAATTAATCCAAATTTAATCTTAATTATTTAATCTTCATTAAAAACTTCAAGTTTAAGTAACAAAAAAAAATCATTTATGGAAACCGATTTTAAACATTTTCAATCATAATTAGGTATTTAACATAAAAATTATACACTTACCTATAAAATAAAGTAACAGCTGTTGTAATGATGCAATTTTTAAGTAAAAAACACGCACATTTTGGCCGAAAATCGAAATTTTCGAACATTAGGTAAGAATGCGTCGCAGGATGTTCGGTTATTTGCCGTTAGACGTCATAGCGTCGCTAGTGTTGTATCACCAAAAAATATTTCATATTTATTTTTTAAAGTACAACATACTTAATTTCTTCAATGTTAAAATACCAAAAACCTTAAATAACAAAGCAAATTTATTAATTATTCACAAATAATCTTTATTTATACATAAGTATTAACTTTTAGGTCTTTTAAACATTAGGTTTATTGAAACCACACGTCAGTTCTAAACGTCAAAACATTTTAAACTGTCATTACTTTAACTGTTTTGTCATTATATACAAAAAATTCCATTCGCAAAAACCGTTTTACTCAAGAAATCTTAAAAGAATTTTTTAAAGATGCATTGGTTTCAAGGAGATATAGCCGAAGCCGTTACGATATCTAGAAAAAACGGCTCGATATTCGTCGTTTACGTTGAAGGTGCGATTCTAACCTAACTTTTAACCGTCAACGTTAAATTATTTTCGTGACATCTTCCGTATTATTTTCTTTATAACAAAATTGTAAGTTATACGGCTTTCAACAATTCATTTTTAGGTAAATGTGATGAATCTGTAAAAATAACGAAATTAATCGATGAGGAACAAGTAACGAATGAATTGAGCGGTGAACACTTTGTGAGTATTAAAATCGATGCCGGATCAATTGCTCATCAACAATTTGCGGAAATTTGTATCCTTTCTATAGAATTTAAGGTGTTTGGATGAAAATAAAAAGTGTGTTATGTAATTTTTTTGGGAAATTAATTAATTTAGAATAATTTTGGAAATTAAATCATATTTAATCTTTTGAGTGCTTAATATTCTTTGATAATATGCTTTAAACAGGCTTCATGTTGACGAATTAAACTGTGAAAATGAAACAATTTGTTCAATAAGGGTATAACTATTAAGATTATTAAAATCAATTGGGTTGAGTACAAATATTCACTTCATAATTCAAGAAGAACTGCTACAATTCTCTTTAGAGTATGTGGTTAACAAAATTTTAAAGAATGAAAACTTTGGTTCATATAAGGTATGTTATTTCTAAGTTTTATGGTTTATTATGCTACATAAGTATGTTTTTGTTACTTTACCAGGTTCATACGATTCACAAACTTTGTGATGATAATTTCAACAGGATGCTTTGTTAAGAAACTGCTTGAGTCATAGTTTCCAGGGACTGAAGATATATTTCAACAGAATGGTGACCCATATTTTGAGCTTCAGGTTCAATATTTAAATTTTTGTGCATCAACACATTTTGAGTGACCCTAAATCTATTTTAACTATTTTTAGTATTATCCCTGTGTGTTTATCTACATACATAAATGTGGTGCCTAAATTTAGTATGCATTGAAATCATAAATCTGTAACAAATTTTGAGTTTAATCTCAATGGGAAGTGGTACTTAATCACAATCAAACCATTACCTAGTACTTATTTTTAAATATGTTTGCTGCAAAAATCTTTGGTTTAATTCCAAAGTTCCCAGTTCTGTTATTGGTTATATCTGTTTCAATTAGTTAACTTAAAATCTGGCGTAATAATATAATAAACCAAATGTGTAAAGTTTTAAATCTTGATGTGGTTGAAGTTAGATGTAGGTTTGAATCTGAAATGTGTAGAGAGTGTAGCACCCTAGAACTATGTGAGAAAATTTAACTGACGGTAGTACCACTATACAAAAGGGCAGACAAACACATTAAAACTTCAGTGACAACACAAGTTAAAAGGTTGGCTTGTCACAGTAAAAATTTTAAAATCATATTATTAACATTGAACATCAAAATTGTACCTCTTTAGATTTAGATTTTAAATTATGTTCCCTGAGAAGAGGTTGTGTCATTGAATGCTAATGTAGAATGTTGGGTTACAATTGTAAAAAAGAACGTTTTAGCCAGCAACACATATTTAAAAGTTGGATGGAAGGTTTGTTCGAACTTTGAAAAAAATTATTCATAATAATATCAAAGAACTAGTGTTAGATATAAAAAAGCACAGTTGTAAGAAGTTCAACTAAAATGAAAAAGACATCCTAAGCTGTAAAGAACAATGGCGACAAAAAGTTAAGAAACAACAAACACTTTAATTAACTTTAATTAATAATTGGCGATAATTCCGCAAGGATCAAGAAATTAAAATTATCAAAACTACAAATATTGTTTTCTCAAAAACTAAAAGTTATTTTTCAAAATGGGTTGGTTCATTGGAAAGAGGACACTTTTATTAACACGTTGGGAAATTTTTATACTCATATTCCAAAAAATTGATTTTATACGAATTTTTAAAACTTAATCGGCGGAAATTGCAAAAATCCAAAAAATTGTCGATCATTTCAAAAGTGTATTTCTCAAGAACTAAAAGTGATTTTTCAAAACGGCTTGTTGCATTAAAAAGAGGATACTTTAATTAATAATAATTGGTGATATTTCCACAAGGATCCTTCAAGAAATGAGTTTTATAGCGAATTTGAAAGTTATCGATGAAAATTGCAACATCGAAAATTTTATCAAAACTTCAAATATTGTTTTCTCAAAAACTAAAAGCTATTTTTCAAAACGGGTTGGTTCATTGGAAAGAAGAGGTTCATTTTGTACGAATTTTTAAAATTTAATCGGCGAAAATTGCAAAATTCGAAAAAATAGTTGATTATTTCAACAATTTTTTTCTCAAGAACTGAAAGTGATTTTTCAAAACGGTTAAACGATTAAAAAGAGGATACTTTAATTAATAATAAAAATTGATAACAGCGACAGCTCTGTTGGTAATGAATTATAAGCGGAGAGAAGAAAACTAGGCGAAGCTGCAACAAGAGATTTTATAATATGTATCATATTGGGATTGTTACAATGAAGTTGCTAATGACAAACCTGATATAAATAAACTTGTATTTAATGAAAAAGGTCCTATTGGGATTGAACCTGATTATTATCTGCAGTGCCCAACACCTAAAAGAGATACTAATTCTTGTGAATGGTGGAGTACTGAGTAATAGGTTTTTAATATCCGGCCAAAGGCTAATATTTGGTAACTATCCGCTATTTGGCCGGATTTAAAAAAATTGCCGGATAGGCTAAAATTCGGTATTCAGTTTATGGCAAAATCGCTGAGACGGGTCTAAAGATATAAATTTTTTTGCAATTATTTGGTATAGATTTTAAGTTTTTTCCGCCATTTTTAAACGAGTAATGACGTCATCGATATGTTTTTCAAATAGCAATGTCCCATTTCTATTACGGAATATGAAAGAGTACTATTTTCTAAATCTTGTACAGTCAATATTAATATTGGTTACATAAGAAAATTTTCGAGAAAGTTCATTTGAGAGGTTTCATTGCGTAACCATGGCAAGTAACTGTTTCAGATATCAAAAATTTATCATTGTCAAGTTCCATTATTTTCCATTCATTGTGGTAGAAAAATAGCACTAGCCATGCGTAACCATGGCAACCAACTGTTTCAGATATCAAAAATTTATCATAGTTTTAATAAAATATCTGAAGCAACTGGTTACCATGGTTACTACTATTTTTCTACCTCAAATGAATGGAAAGTGAATGAACCCTTAAGGCAATTTTTCTTGAAAATTTTCTCATGAATCATTGGAAGACACGAATTCTGCACTCTCCGTAATCTGTTTTTGTCCCTTCTATACAACTCGCTATCTATGATTGGCCAAACATCTGAATCAACTATAGAGTCGAATCTGAATCTAACTTCAACCACATTAAATCCTGTTGATAGTTTTGCAGAACGAAACATATCCACTTTGTAATATTTGTTATGTTTAAAGATCTTTTTATGGATTTTTCGAAATTTTGTTGTTTGATTTGGTGGCGGAATCACGAAATTATGGTTAATGTACTTGATGTAATGGATAACATTTTTAACTTCAAAGCTATTACCATTAAATCTTTGCCTGTAATTTTGCATTAAACTCAAATAATCTGTTGTAGTCTAGTTCATATTACATTTTCGAGTAATTTTCCACAACTTTTGCAAGATTTTCCGTGTTGCCTTTACAGTTATTCTCTTTGGACACTGTATAGGTCTCGTTTTGTTTCAGAGTTTGTAATCTATTCAGTTCTATCTAGTGATTTACTCTTCCTAGCTTTTGATTTGATTATTAGTCTTGTCTATTAGCCATTTGGCTATTTTTATTGGGTATTCCATATTTTGATCTGTAAGGAAGTTTTGGCAATTTTGATTTCCATGACTTGAGATTCTTACAGTTAATTACTTGTTTGTTGATTTGGGAAAGAGTCATAATTCTAAGACTTCTGTTGACTACATTTCAATATTGCCGTGATTTGTAGTAATCAATGAGATGTTCAGAACAACATACATGAATTAGCTGTATTTTCTTTAAAATACGGTACACCTCGAAAGTAGTTTCATGAATACTTAAATTGAATACTGATTTAGTAAATAGTTGACCTCTTTAATGGAACATATCCTGATCGCCAACGCATTAGCCAAAGTATAGTAAGCCTAGCTGCGACTAAGTTTAAAAAGCATGGGCACCTACGAGATTTCTCGAAGTCTGGCCGACCAAACGAATTTGCACATTAATAACTCAACGGTTCACAAAATTTTAAAAACCGTAAAATGTTATTCCTATAACCTTATTCACGACCAATGAGTCGTAGTTTTTGCAACGATGACGAAGACTTTGTCAAAAACATAATTTTTCCCAAAAAAGGAACATTTACATTGAGTGGACAAGAAAGTTGCACAACCAATATCCGCAATAGATCAATGTGTGCAGCAAAGTAGTACCCTGGGTCCTAACTTTTTTTAGGAAACCTTAACTAAAGAGAGATGTTCAGATTTTTTCGAAACGATATCATAATGTTGACCCAACTCAAATCCAACGGCAGTTATTGTAACAAGATGGCGTACCACCACACTTCAACAAGCTTTACTATCACTTTTTGACACTTAAGAAATCGTTTAAAATAATTGGTTACCACAGTTGCTCATGGCTACTACTACTTTTAGCATGTCAACTAATATGAATCCGTTCTTCTAAATCTCCAGTATACACTCAAATCTGATATTTGAGTTTAATTATCCCTCTCTCAGTCTTTTGGTCGCTCAAAGGTTTTCGCTTATTTACCATTTACGTCTAACATCGTCTTGAAATATAAATATTCTCTTCTAAAAACTGTTTGTTCATCTGGCACAAACTCTCCTTGGTTTCTTCTTCAGTCTTTCCTACAGAATTCCTGTATATTGTTTATTTATTCCCTGTTTTGTAAACCAAATATTATTAATGAACCCTTCCCTCGTCAAAATCCTATTTAATTTTTTGTCCTAACTAGCTTTTTCAACCAGATCTCATTTTGCAAACCTTTCTCCTCTCTCGAGCATCGTCTAGCAATATTTCTATTTCCTCTACGACTTCAACACTCTTGCGGATATTTCTAACTCCAATCCTCGCAACCTTTCAGGATGACTATGAAGAGTTCTGTGATGAGTTCTGAAGCGATACAACATTTTGGCATTAAGATTTTCACTTCAGAAGCAAACGAAGAATGTCGCCACGTATAGCTTTTCCACCAATTTATACACACCTGTATAACATCTCGTTATATTTAACTGAACGTTAATTGAGCAAAGGCATCGTTTACTTTTTAATTAAAACCAGTTAACACTACGCTAATCAAATAATTAACATAATCTCAGCGTTTTCAAAATATTGAGTCGACATTGATCTTATAGAATCAAAATCGATGACTAATCAGCGCTTAACATGAAGTTAATCGAATGTTAATTTTAGGTTAATATCGCATTAAATCTCAAATATAAATTTAAAAAAGTGTAATTGAACCTTCATTTATAAACAGCTTTACAAAGGTCGATTAACGTCACGTTAAACCATGATTGTATACTAATCAGTGGTTAGCATGATGTTACTATATCGTTAATAAACTTGGTTTGGTGGCATTAAATTAAAACTATATTTTATAAAACGATTATCGTCATCTTAGTTTAAAGATATTGCTTGGAATAGCGTTCTATAGCACTCAAAAGATTTAAATGTTAATAAATTTTTTTAATTCTTGATGTTTTATAAGAACCTTAATTTGATAATAGATAAAAAAGTTAATGCTCCTTCAATATTTTTTATTGGCGCTGGAGGAGTTCCTTTAGAAATCATTGAAACTGTTCAAGATCTTGATGATTTACTCCAAAAAATTGAAAGTGTTAAATTAAAAAGTGGTATTAAATTTACTAACAATTCTCAAGGTAAATTATAATGTATAAAAATTGTTTATTAAAATATACTTTGAAAACATTTTATAGCAAGCACCGCAGTGTCCAATTTCCTTTCAAATGAACAACAAGCTGTCGAATGTGAAAACGGAGTTTGTAAAATGAAGCCAGAAATAGAAAAAGAAACTAAAATCGAAAAACCTTCTAGTTCCGACATGCCAGACACTACCACTTCATCAAATCTAGTTTCGAATGAAGAAAATGTTAAGGGTGTCATGGAAGGTGAAGAATATAAAAAACCGGAATTAAGTAAAGAAGAAAGAATTGAAAAAGCGAAAGAGATGATTGAAAAAAATAGAGAAATGAAACAAAAAGAGGAAGAAGAAAAAGAAAAATCAAAAGAAATTGAACGTCGTAAAATGGGACAGGATGTCCAAAAAATGAAACGTTGGCAAGAAGACCAAGAATTTAAACAAATGGTAGAAGCTAGAGAAAAAGAAAAGAAAGAACAACAAGCGGCCAGACAACGAGTTTTAGAGCAAATCCAACAAGATAAAGCGGATAGGGCAGCAAAATTTTCCAATCAATCTCCAACATCTCCCCAAGTAAACATTCCAGCCCAAAAAACACCTCCGTGTAACTCTAACATCGTTCGTATACAATTTAAACTCCCCGATGGAAGCTCCCACAATCACGAATTTACCCCAGATACGAAATTAAGCGATCTCAAAGCTTATATTCGTTCAAATATAGCATTAACGTTTAACAATTTCTTATTGGCAACGATGTTTCCAAGAAAAGAATTTTCCGAGGAAGATGATGAAAAATCGTTGAAAGATTTAGAGTTGTATCCAAGTGCAGTTTTATTAATTTTGCCACTTTCTCATGGGGCTGTGTCTACAAACTCTAATACAGGAATATTTAGCGCGTTTATTTGGTCGGTTATAGGCCCTATTTTAAATTTGTTTAGTTATATTAAGGGAATGTTGTTTGGAGCGCCAAGGCCTAAGGAAAATGATGGTAGTGGAAATGGTAAGCGGTCGACTGAACAAGGAGAATCTTCAAGGTTAGAAATACTACGTATTATCAAGTAAGATCCCGTAATCCAAATCATTTTTTCCTTTGTGTATCCATTTTTATCCTGCATGTATTGTAATATATACAGGATGGTTCATTTAACGTGAGACAAGCGATTATGTCGAATATGGTTCTTTTTATATAAAAATGAACCAAATGAAAGTTGTTCTGTGCGAAAGGGGAAAACATATAACGACAACAAAAGTCATATGAAGGTCACGACCAATTTTTTAATAAAGTATACTATTAATTAACAGCAAGTATAAAATTTATAATAAATGTTCAAATATTTCCCCACCCATTTCAATACATTTATAAACCCTTCTGCTAAAACTTTCTTTACATCTTAAAAGGTTTTCTTGGCTACTATTTCTGCATGCATTTCTTATCCACTCTTTTATGTTTTCTGGCGTAGTCGATACTTCGCAATAAACATTATCCTTAAGGACGCCCCACAAAAAAAATCTACAGGTGTTAAATCAGGTGATCTGGCAGGCCAGGAAATTGGACCTCACCTTCCAATCCATCGCCCAGCATAATCCCGATCTAAAGCTTCACATTTTTTACATTACACATTTTTTTTTTATTTTTGCTACAAATTTTTACACATTTTTCTAAATATTTTCAATACCATTTATGGTAGAGCGTTGACATTTGGTACAGGGTAAACAAATATCAAGCAAAATCATTGAACTAATTTTCACTTTGATTGGGCGGCGACAACCATGCTATACAGGTGTCCCTAAAATTTGTTTGCTAACAACTTTTTTGTTCGCTCGTAACCCTACATTTATTTTTGTACTTTTTAATAGAAAATTTATTTTAGAAACTTTTATCACTCTTTGAAAATGTTGATAACATTGACCGTTTTCGAGTTATACGCGAAAATGTTAAGCTTTGATTTCAATCGTAATAAGCAAAAATAATCGTAATAAATATATTCCGCAAGATCTGAGTTGGCGATGACAATTGAAAAACGAACTGAGCTAATAACCAGTGTTAATAGTTAAATCCAGTGTTAATTCAACGCAGTAAACTAGCGATTTAACGCGTCCCCACAAATAAAAATCTACAGGTGTAAGGTCCGGCGATCGGAGGGGGGCAACTTGTCGGTGCATCTACTCCTCGTCCAATCCACCGTCTCGGAAAACGTTCCCTCAGAAATACTTGGACAGCCTGTGTGCTGTGCGCAGGAGCACCATCATACATATACCACATAGATTGCCTTGTGTTTAAAGGAACGTCATCTAAAAAATCATCTAATTCCTCTAAATGTCGCCTGTATGTATGTCCATCCAGCCTTGATGGCAAGAAAACGGGTCCAATAATTACATCGCCCACAATGCCAGTCCAAACGTTAAGAGAAGATCTCCATTGTGATTTCCAAGTTTTCTTAAATCTTGGATTTTCGTCCACCCAACTATGTAAATTTCTCAAATTGATGATTACAACTTTAGAAAAAGTGGATTCATCTGTAAAAAGCACTTTTTTTAAAAACCATCATCAATTTAAGATAAGATCATCATAAGATTAATTGATAAGATCATCAATTTGGATTTTGTGTTGCATTATTTGGCAATATTGCGTCGCAGTGGGTAATCAGCCAGTCGAACTTCTTGAACTTTGTAACAATGAAATGGATAAAGCTGTTGCTCGTGAAGAACACGCCAGACAGTTATTTTTGAACTTAAAAAACGCCTCGCCATATCCAAAGTACTAGCTGTAGTATTTTCTTCTACGTAGTCTAGAATATCTTCTTCTAGTTCGGGTGTTCGGACTGATCTTACGTTACCCTTGTTAGTAAATTTCGGCTTAAATGTCCCATTTTCCGTTAAACGGGTTTCAATCCTTAAAAATGTTTTTCGATTGGGCGCTCTGCGGTTTAGAAATTTCTCCCGATAACGGTTAGCGGCTGCTACGGCGTTTCCATGATGTCAAAATCATGTCAGTTTTTTACTAAATGTGTAACTCTCCATTTTGAACACTTAAAATTAATAAAAACTTAACTAACAAAAAACTATCGTTTATGTTTAAACGACATAAGCAAGTTGACAGCTCAATTTGTTTTTTTTTAATTGCCATGGCCAACCTTGACTTTTTCGAAGACTTTTGTTTTTGGGTTCTGTCCAATCGGACCAGATGGTGTGTCCCAGACAGTACGTCGCGCCTTTATCTTACCTACATAAAGAAATAAGGCGCGACGTCCTGTATGGGACGCACCATCTGTTCCGATTGGACAGAACCCCCGTCACCCCGCAGAGCTTATTTCTGTTTCTCCTTAATTTGTAATTCCATTAAATCGCTCTTAAAAAATTAGGGAGCTCTAATTTTGAAAAACTGTTAACTGAATCCGACAATCGACATTATTTGACATATTTTGGTCAAATCCGCGAGGAAATCCACCTAGCCGTTTTCGACATAACGGCGTCTTACTAAACCGCGATTTTCCACGAAACTGGAATATCGAAAAAATAAAATATGTCACTCATTAAGAACACATCAGGCTACCACCTGTTCAAAATTCAATTTTTTTCGTACGATAGTTTTCGAGAAAAAAAATCGTAAAGTTGATAAAGTTGCCGGTACCGCAAATAATCGGGTACTTTTTTCATTTAACTCCCGATAAAAAGAAAACCGTGAATCCGAAAATTTTCAAATTAACATATATAGAAATGTTCAGTGATTACAGCAAACTTTGTCGCAATTTTTTTTATCGAGCGGTTGCGAAGGTATCGATCTCTAAAGTGAGGGGCCTTGACTTTTTGCACGGATAGTAGTAGCTCGTGAATGTTTTACACTCGATGTTATTTTTGTCCAAATATCAAGTAGCGGTAGACACAAAAGAACAATTGAACTTTAATCTAGTAGTCGAACGTCAACCAATCCTATCAATCTATTGACTCCATTGAACGACGTTTCAATTTATGTATTGAAAAAGAAGGAAAACATTTCGAGTATTTTTTGTAAATCATTAATATTATTACTTCCCATCTTGTTAGAATATTTATGTGAATAAAAAACTTTGCTTTTCAGAAGGGTGGAATTTTCTTTATTTTCGGCTCAACCGGTTTCGACTATTCTTTTTTAGTCATCTTCAGGAACAATAGCCACGTCAGTTTCACTCTTAATTTTCATAATCTGAATTCATTTCTTCTTTTATTTACGTTTTCTTGAATTCTTTGTTATTAAATGATGTTAAAATTGTTTCTAATTTTATGTTTTTTCTTATTTTCTAAATCACGTTAATCTTGTTAGTCTTTACAATGGTTGTTTTATTTTTATTTTATTTATTTTTTTTTTTAACAACCATTGTAAAGACTAACAAGATTAACGTGATCTAGAAAATAAATATTTATATATTATTACATTCTTTATTCACATAAATATTTTTTTGTAAATACCTAATTTTCATTTGATGTAAATTTTTAATTTTGAGTTTCAAAAAGTAGATGTTTATTACAAAATAAAGTTTAATTGTTTTTTTTTGTGTGTCAACGGCTACAAAAATAACATCGAGTAAAACATTCATGCGCTACTAGATTAAAATGTTAGTAGCTTTTTGATGGGGATAGACATGAATTTTTAAGAAAAACGAAATACTATCATAAAAAGAATGTTTTTAAGATCTCAACAATAAAAAAAAAATTATGGCATTCCATTAAAAAAAAAAGTTGAAAGTCGCCATTTTGAAATAATTCTTCCAATTGAAAATCTGGTATCACCATCGTGTAGAGAATGTCCTAAAACATATTACTGCCAAATATTTTGAAAGTAGTACCCATAGTGTGGCTAAAAAAAAATAAGGCACTTACTCTGAAACAGGCTGTATAATGACATTCTCACACAATAGTTTATTATTATTAATTATTGTTTTTCTTTCTTTTTGTTCTTTTTTTTTGGTTTTTCTCGTGGTGCAATACGAAAACCGGGCACTGCGTCTGATATCACACCATTTGGGCCGTTATTGTAACTTATATAGTTTAGTTTAGTTTTGAATAGTTTTAAATTTGAACGATTTAATTTTGAATTTGATGTAGTTTGTGGATTAGTTTATTTTGGGTAATTTAATTTGATTTGTTCTGTAACACATTAAGGGTCACCCATAAAGGCATTTATTATTATTATTATATAAGCGGGTAGGAAAATGTTTAAAAATTCAAAAATCTTATTTGTTCTTGCTAGATTATAAACGTTAGTTAATTGTTTCTGAAAAAGTTTCAATTTTTTTGAAAAGAATTGAGATTTTACATTAAAATATACAGGGTGATTTATAACATACGGAGCAGATTAAAAGAGCAAGTACTAGGGACCAAACTGAAGATATGTTCTTAATAATGTTTTGACTACAACGTAATAATCACAAAGATATAGAGCATTAAAGCTGAATTAATTGCCCAGCATTTCTTACGATATACGGTATTACACTACGTTTAAATTCAAACTGCGAATATTTCGGGGTTACTTAAGCAATGCCTGATTAGCACCAATAATAAAATCTTTGTAATATGGCAGTTACGGCTATTTATAAATTTGTTAAATCACTCAAAAACTGGTGTTTGTTTTTTGAGAACCGCTGATACCATGTTTTTATTGCTGTCAATCCAGTTGACTTGGTTACCTAGCAACGGACATGTCATTTAATTTTAATAATCAATGTCATTTAACGTCAAAATTAGAATTTTTACTAATCAAAAAATACAATGGTAATGTACAGTAACGAAGAATACGTAGATATGCTTATTATTTATGGAGCTGCTGGAGAAAACGCTGCACACGCAAGACGTCTGTATTTAGAACGATATCCAAATCGACAGATCCCTTCTGAAAACACTTTTCTTCGGTTAATCCAGCGGGGAAGAGAGACAGGAAATTTGCAACCTAAGAAAGGTCTTGGTGGCGGTAGACTAAACAGACATGGAGTGAATGTGGAAGAAGAAATTCTAGAAATTGTGGAAGCGGATCGAAGCACGAGTACTCGTCAAATTTCTCACCAACTCGAGGTATCCCAGAATTTTGTTTGGCGTACGTTGAAAAGTAACGGTTTACACCCCTATCATTTTCAAAAAGTGCAAGGACTGACTCCCGCTGACTATCCTTTGCGGTTGCAATTTTGCGAGTGGCTACTAAATCGTACCAACAGAGAAGCAGATTTTGCGGACAGTATACTGGTAACGGATGAATGCTGTTTTACCAGAAATGGTGTTCTAAATGTTCACAATTCCCATGTGTGGTCGGACGAAAATCCACACGTTATTCGTCAAGGCTCTTTTCAACAACGATTCAGAGTGAATCTATGGGCGGGAATTGTGAACAATACGTTAATAGGACCTTTCGAATTACCAGGAACTCTTAATGGAACTTCTTATTTACAGTTTTTACAAGAAAATCTGCCAGTACTCCTGGAAGATATTCCGCTACTTATGCGACGTGAGATGTGGTTTATGCACGACGGTTGTCCTGCACATTTTAGTCGTAATGTACGAGATTTCCTCGATAATGCTTTTCGGCAAAAATGGATTGGTCGAGGTGGACCTATTCCATGGCCACCACGTAGTCCCGATCTTAACCCATTGGACTTTTTTTTATGGGGATTCATGAAGGATAGAGTATATGCCACCGAGGTTAATACAATCGACGAACTACGACATCGCATCACTGCCGCTACAGAGGACATACGTCCACGATTTCCACGATTATCGTTAAATTGGATTCGTCGTGCGCAGTTGTGCGTCGAAATGCAAGGACAGCACTTTGAACATATGTTATAAAGAGATTATTATTATTATTATTATGTTATTTTCTTGTTTTAGAGATTTTGTAATTTTGCATTTAAAACATTATTATTATCCGTTTCATAAATTAACATCTATTATTTCTTTTCATAAATTACGTATTAAAACTAAACAATTAAATTGTCTACTTTGACAGCTCCTTCAAAAATGAGGATGGCGTTGACAAGTATTTTAATTGTTCTTTAGTGAATATCAGCGGTTCTCAAAAGTTGACGCTAACTTATTTAAAAAATTAACATGCGATATCTATGTAACTATTAAGATTTTAACAAAACATTATTAAGAAAATCTCTTCAGTTTGACCTCAAGTACCTACCCATTTAGTCTCCTCCGTATGTTATAAATCACCCTGTATAGGGTGCCATTTAAAAAATTGGTGGTGACCTTCATATAACCTTGAAAATAAGGTCAAGGTCAAAAAAGCTATCGTCATATCGTTTCCCCTTCGCACAAAACAATTTTCATTTGGCGTTTTCGAGATAATCGCTTGTCACACGTTAAATGGACCAACCTGTATATTAAAAGTTTATTAAATTATTTAGGTCTCCGAAACGAAGAGCTGGA